CTTACTCGAACTAGTAGAATGTAGATTTGGCTACCAGATCTAGCAACCAGAGAGACTCTTAATTTCTTCAAAATTGAAAAAAAGATATCAGGAAATTGTCTGCTGAATACAGTGAAGATATGTCAGTTGATCTGTTTGAACAATTAATTGAAATAAAAAAAGGACACCAGAAAATTGTCTGCTGAATACAGTAAAGATGTGTCAGTTGATCTGTATGGACAATTAATTGCTTCGAAAGCATACTTGATGAAACCTGAAATCACAGAATTATATCTGATCAAATGCAATTGCCTTACATCAAGTTCTTAGAGATGATAACAGCATACTAACTATTATTGACCTTTCTGGCTGCCACAGTTGAAAGTTTTGCGAAATAAAAAGTGATGGAAAATTATCTTAGAACTCCAATAGGACTAGAACGGCTATCAGACCTGTATATGAGGCAGAAAATCTCGAAATACTTCGTCTTGAGATTTGGATGATTTGATGAGTAAAGTCGAAAAATGGCAAGAAACTGCAAAAGAGGAATCTAAATATTCTGTTTTTCATTTGTTTTCATACGCTCAAGTGTTAACTGCGAATAAAAAAAATGTTCTATAGTTTTATTCAATGTTTCCCGCTATTTTTCGAGTATTGAATGTGCAGGTTGGTACATGATGAAAATTTTGTCAGGCATATAAGAAAACACCCCTCAAATAGAATGCGTTTTAGAAGCCGAACTAATTCGACCATTGACAGACGTGGCGGCAATTTCGAAATGAAGTTGCTTATTGACTTTGTTTTATTTCTGGAGAAATACCTACATGGCACAAAATCATTCATGTTACTGTATTACAATAAAGAAAGAAGGACTGTGTATAATGAACCTCGTCGACATGATGCCTTGTATTCTTCCTGAAATGAGCTTATTATGATTTGATAACTACTATGATTCAAAGGAAAACAATTAAACATGATTTCATTAACTTTTTCAATTCATAACTATATTTTCACTAGGCAAGTGGACTATTGTTTCTTATTTCTGAAATGGAATCATCACAAAACGATCTTTCAACTTCATATTGTTTCAGATTTTGCCGGTCGACTTTAAGGACCTAAAATCATTAATAATACCATGGTAATTTTCAAACGGCTAAAAATTTGCCGATAATGAAAACTGACGTCACGATTTCGTGAGTGGGAGCAAGCAATAGCACAGTTGCCATTATGTTGAAATACAATTGGAAACTCAGAAAATATAATTTATTCAACAATTCATAATTTCTCAATTATGTATTAGTGATGTCCCTATTCAGGTACGAAAAATACATTTTCTTGAGATTTTCCCTCTTATATCTTGTGGCTTATTGGTTAAGATGAATTTGTGTAAGTATATTGATTATTATTAAATCACACTTGAGATCATTCGATCCAGTAAACGTGACAACACGGCGCAAAGATTGAGGGTGTGATCTTGTTAGTTATCGACATTGCCAAGTCTCCAACATTACCATGATATTTTGTTTTAGTATGAGAAATATGTTGACATGCTGGTTGCTCGAGAAAACCATGAATGAATGAACATAATATCATGGCTTCTTTCCTATAAGGTATGTCTAATGAATGGAATATTCAATTTGAATGTTTTTATACAACGACAGGACTTTACATATAAGTGGTGATTTGACAACCTTGCTTCATGTGTGGAAATGGAAGATTCTGAATAAGAATGATTTAATAAGGAAACAGCATAAAAACTGACGTCACCATTTATCCGACGAATCCCAGAACAATGGCGGCCATGATGGTATGTTTGAAACTAGCTCCGAAAATCAACTATTTCGAAAAATACAAAAGATAATTTTTAAAATGGAAAAAGCGTTAGGAGTATTGCAAAAAACTATCTAGTTCCCTGAAGACACAGAGGAGTAATTGAATGCCAATAATTCAACATCATTCCAGTAGCTTTATCGAATCAAATGATGAAACTGAAAGTGATCCCACCATTCCACATCACATAAACAATTTTAAAAACAGTAATGGTGGCACTGTGTTGCCAATAGCAAATTTCATGAGCAGCTAGATGATTGTTGAAAAATAGCCAGAGGCGAATAATTTTTTAGCCATTTTCCGGCAAAGCTAGCCATTTTTGCATTTTTTTCAGCAAGTACAAGAAATCTGACAATAAGCTGAGAACCTTACATTGAAAATTTTATTTTTATTTGATTCAATACTTTAGACTAGTGATATTGACATTGACATATGACGTAATGTGTTTGCGTCAGTGGAGTCAACATCAAATTGTCAAAATGGCATCAAGCATAAAGTACAAAATCCATAGAAATACAGACTGGTCTGAAGTGGACTTTTCAGATCATATATACAGGGTGATTCAAAAGTGAGCGGCATCCCTTCAGGGGCGTATACCTTATTGCATGAAAATTAGTCAAAAAGTTCATATTCCTAAGGGAGCTACGCCCCTTTGAATAGGACACCTCAAAGACGATTTTTCTCTATAACTTTAAAATCCTTCACAATAAATTTTCGAAAATGATTGTACGGCAATAACATCTGATGGTAAATAAGACTCTGAATTCGAAATTTCAAAATTCCATTCAGGGGCGTCACATGCGGGGGAGGGTAAGTGTAAAAACATTCCTTCGTCTTTTGATATACAGGTTATTATAATTTATTCAACAATTCATAATTTCTCAATTATGTATTAGTAATGTCCCTATTCAACTAATGTTTCATGATAGAGCAAGATCCCATGAACGCCAGACTTTTGTTATTTTATAGAGAAATCACGTCATGCATTGCCAGACACTTATCATGGTGGCTTCCTCTTGCCAGAAACCGTGAAGATCCTAGTAGAAAAATTCTACTGAAACAAGTCGAATTTTATTTTCATTATTCCATATTCTTGAGGGGAAATTAAATATACCGATAATCCACATCTGGCTTACGATTTTCGCGTCAATTATTTCAAACGAACCACCCTATAAATTATTCAATTTTCAGAATCTACATGGCAAGCTCAATTGAAACACATATTATGATTCAATAATTCAATAAGTCAATGACCTCTTTTGCTAAATAATAATTCATTTTTTGCCAAACTATCCATATCTGAGGAATCTCCTGAGACAGAGGTCGATTTCAATTTTCAATTTGCCAAATTTATAAGGCCACTTTGCATATACCACGAATACATTTTTCAAGTATTGGATTCTTGTATGGAAAACTACGTCGGTATTTTTATTGGAACCTCATTCTGCCATTGAAATAAATTAAAACCACTACACAAATCCTATGTGTCATATATACTTGAATCCAGCTTCTCATGGAGATCCCAAAAACAGTATAATATATAGGAAATTACATTTGAAAAAATCATCGTGGACGTCGTCAATCAGACGTGGATCACCCGGTATATTAAATTTTTTCTCACAAATGTGAAAAAATGAAAATAAAATTCGACCTGTTCTAGTAGAAATCTCAGAAACGGATAGTTTTGCTAAAAATGAATTCATCCACTTCACGAGAACCCTTAATGTAACGGACGCACACGTATACAAACCCAATGTGTGATGAATGTGGCAAATTCAAATGAAAAATCGACCCATTCGAAAAGATTCTTCAGAAATGGATAGTTAAAAGGGGTTAGCACCATCAGAATTAACGGTCTGGCTACTGAGGAAACATCTTCTAATAATAACCCAAATTATCATGATAAGTGTCTGGCAATCCATGACGTGATTTCTTATATTATACCGGAGATAATATGTAAAAATTACGATTTATAATTTGACGAAAGCAAGTTGGTATTTTTGACACCTTTGCTCCCTTTAACCAGCCACCATGACCTTAACTCCATATTTGTCCATCGTTTTTACTTGCGTTGGGAGCATGCGCTGAGAAACTTTCAGCTTTTATAAAATAACGAAAGTCTGGCGTTCATGGGATCTTGTACTATGAAGATAGAGTGATAATTACCTGTAACCCCAACCTGCGAGATTTTCTATACACTGCCTGGCAGTAGTTGAACCAGCACCCATGCATAATCACTGTAGCCGACCTAAGGGATGCCTCATAATCTGTCATTATGGAGGCAGGCACCATGCCTGGCAGAATTGTTTCCATGAAATTAAAAACCTGTATGTATGCAGATGTGGTTTTCCTTTGCATCAATGTATAAACAATCGGGAATACCTGTAAAATACAAACAATACTAGATATATGTATTTCAACTACCAGGGGCAGATTCCCTGATCTCTTAAACATAATAATCCATCCTGAATTACAGAAACTACGGAATGAGGTGCAGACAAGACTTTGTAGTTACCCGCACACCTACTGAATATGTTTTCTATTTTTTTGCTTCAATGGGAGTGAAAACTACCTTCAAGTAATTTTTATAAGGCAAAGGCGGTCGAATGATCCTTCATTCAAAACAAAATTCAATTCTGAAGGAAAAATGTCCATCCAGAAGAAAATGGTAATTGTTTTAGGTTATGGAACTCCTACACTTGATTTTTGCGAATATAAGACTATTGATAATATTAAAAATCCTCATGTGTTGAAACTCCTTTGGATTGACTCAACATTTTCTATGGTCAGAAAAATCAATAATCGATCGTAGAGTTGCTATTTTGTAAATAATGAATAATTATTTTACGGGGTTGAATCACATTTTGAATGCCTCACTCGACCTCCTTGCTATTTCACTTTAACCCCTGTATACAGATATGAAAAAACTCCACTCTGAACGGAGTCTTCATTTTCAATCATTTGCTGAAAAAATTACTTGTTCAGACAAATTGTATTTCCTGAATTTATTCCACAGACTTCCTGATGGTTTGGTAAGCGTGTTCATTTTTAATACACGCAGTGCACGATGGATGAAATTAACCAATATCGACCATGTTGCCAAACTGAAAATATAATTTTCATCGAACTACGGTGGTGGTGACTTTGTGGACACACTGTATAAGACATTTGACTCTTACTTACTTGCTAACCTAAGTAGCCATGACTTTAAATGCCTCTCCCGTTAAATATTGCCTGGATCTGCCCTGAACTACTGCTATTACTACTACTGCAATACTTACCGTTTCATGTACAGATATGTGGATTATGAATAACTGGAGTGCCCCACCAGCTCTAGGTACAACTTTGAAAGTTGCATCCATTTGAAGGCAGATGCTGCCTGCCTCATACCGTCTTATGACGTTGCAAACTGTTGGGGATACAAATACAGCTATTTTGGAATCATCAGTGGCCGTAAATGTCGTATGATAAAACTGCTCGCCCAAAACAGTTTTTGCATATCGGTCTCTCCAACTGGAAATGTATTTATGAATTTTTCTCAGAATGTAAATCAGGTCTGGTTTCTATTGGTTTCAGAATTATTGTTTTTATTTTCAAGAATGTTTTGTTTTTTGATTTTTTTGTAATGTTCGATTGTTTGTCTCAGAATGGTGGTTTGTTATTAATATAATTGGGTCATTCTCACGAATATGTGCTTTTCGGTGTGGAAAATTTACAAAATGAAGAACACGCATTAAATCATTTATTTCGATTTCATTATGAAATTTTCAATGCATACAAACAGATCCTAGTGGTTGAGCTTAATCATTCATATTTTGTGAAAAATAGAGATTTTTTGATATGGCTCATTAACGGAGGTGAAATTATTTCAATGGAGGTGAAATTATTTTAACGGAGGTGATGACTTATACAAAACAAATACAAAAACATTGGAAAAATTCATTTGGTTCACTCAGTTTCATGCCAAATTCTTGTAATTCAACGGTACATCATCAGGAAATACAAATTGTTGCCTATTATTAATTGAGGGCTTTGGCAATTTTGTGATGATTTCACTTGCTAGAACTAGGGAAATATCGTCTTTACAAGGAAAACTGAATCTGTTGATACCACATTTCTGAAGAAATTCGACTGTGTATTCTTCAGTTGAGTAGACAGCTTGAATTTGTCCTATGGAATGCCTCTCAATTTTTTCCCCAATAGTCTTATAACGGCATAATCATGGTCATGAAGAGTGGAGGATGGTGATATTACGGATTCGCTAGCGTCATCGTCAGAATATATTTCTGAGTAATGTAAACGACTCTTACTACAAATTCCTGAAGAAGGAGCTGTGGTAGCTGTCAAGGAAAATTATATCATTATGAAATCAACATTCATTCTCTCTCTGCTTTCATTTCATCTCAATCACATTCTCACTTCCCTTTCTTTCTCATTGTCTTTAATATTTTTCCTTGACTTGAATTCTTTTGATCAAAAAGGAACTAGCTCAATTTTCTTGCCTGGATAATATTTTTGTTGTTTTTTGTCCTAGTTATTTCTCGAACTTGCATGGTCCCTTTGAAAGGTTTCAATTTCAGAGGCAATAAATCATCGATTTCTAAAAGTGTTGATGTACTGATCGGTATACATTTGATACCTCTACAGTTTTCTGTTAATTGCTCAACAAGTGTCTTGAAATCTGGTATGTCAGTCCCTTGAGCTACCAAACGATCAGCCGTTCTTTTGAGGCATCCACCAACTCCATCTGGAGCCCCTTTTCCATGTCCTGGTTCACTATAAATCCATCGAAAGTTTTCGATTTTCAGATAGTCTGCTATGAATTTCACCATGAGATGAAACATCTTCCTATTTTTGTATTGAGTGGATGGGCCATCACTTAAGAAGAATGCACTTACTCAAATCTGGTACCAACTCGAGCGCTTCTTTTAGTATTGGCACCAAATGGGCACAAATGGCAGCTGGATCATGACGCAAATTCTCGCAAAATGTACATAGAGAAATCGGCTTACAGTTTTCTGAAGTAGGAGACCTATAATATAGAACTACCGTATGCATGGAAACTTGAGGCTTCGAACCACCAAAATGTGCAGACTGAATTTCAGCTGCATACTTGCAGTTGTAGTTCTCAGAAAAATCAATGTGTATTAAAACTTGATCAAACTTAAGTTTTTTTTCAAAGAGTCTATGGCAGAGTACTGGTGCATAATATTTCTGGTATGAATAAGAAACTTTCCAATAGCGTTTTTGAAGATGACAACTAATGTTTCTTTATTTGTTTCAACTGATTCTTTGATTGTTTTCTGACACATTTTTTTTCTCTCCTTTAATCATAACTTCTACTTTTTTCGAACACCATCTCTGATAGGATACTATCTCACCTTTTTCATACTGCAAAATGTTCACTTCTTTGTTCTTACATATTTCGCAAGATCTTTCTAAACATGGTGCAGAAATCGAAAGAAAGTGGGCATGGTGGGAATTGGACATCGTAGGAATTGGGCATCGTGGGAATCTATGAAAAGTGGGCATGGTGGGAATCGAAGAAAAGTGGGTATGATGGGAATTGGGCATCGTAGGAATTGTGCATCGTGGGAATCTATGAAAAGTGGGCATGGTGGGAATCGAAGAAAAGTGGGTATGGTGGGAATTGGGCATCGTGGGAATTGGGCATCGTGGGAATCTATGAAAAGTGGGCATGGTGGGAATCGAAGGAAAGTGGGCATGGTGGGAATTGGGCATCGTGGGAATCTATGGAATGTGGGCATGATGGAAATCGAAGGGAAGTGGGCATGGTGGGAAGTGGGCATCGTAGGAATTGGGCATCGTGGGAATCTATGAGAAGTGGGCATGGTGGGAATCGAAGGAAAGTGGGCATGGTGGGAATTGGGCATCGTAGGAATTGGGCATCGTGGGAATCTATGGAAAGTGGGCATGGTAGGAATCTTGTGTTTTCTGATTTTTTCTCATAACCTGGCAACGTTGCGCTCTTCGGCAATCTTCGTAATCGTCGACATGATATTGGGCATCGTAGGAATTGCGCATCGTGGGAATTGGGCATCGTAGGAATTGGGTATCGTGGGAATTGGGCATGGTGGAAATTGGGCATCTTGAGAATCTATGAAAAGTGGGCATGATGGGAATTAGGCATCGTGGGAATTGGGCATCGTGGGAATTGGGCATCGTGAGAATCTATGAAAAGTGGGCATGGTGGAAATCGAAGGAAAGTGCGCATGGTGGAAATTGGGCATCGTGGGAATCTATGAAATGTGGGCATGATGAGAATCGAAGGAAAGTGGGCATGGTGGGAATTGGGCATCGTGGGAATCTATGAAAAGTGGGCATGGTGGGAATCGGAGGAAAGTGGGAATGGTGGGAATTGGACATCGTAGGAATTGGACATCGTGGAAATCTATGTAAAGTGGGCATGGTAGGAATCTTGTGTTTTCTGATTTTTTCTCATAACCTGGCAACGTTGCGCTCTTCGGCAATCTTCGTAATCGTCGACATGAGATTGGGCATCGTAGGAATTGGGCATCGTGGGAATTGGGCATCGTGAGAATTGGGTATCGTGGGAATTGGGCATCGCGGTAACTCTGCAGAATAACATCTGACATGCATACAATTGAAGCAGATACGACTACAGTGACCATATAAGACGACTTTGAAGGGTATATAGCGGGTAAAACGGGCAAATGGGGATATATTCGACTTCATCGTTGTGCACACTATATCTTCCTATCCTATCATCTTACATGGACAATATTGAAGCAGACAAGTTCACATCGACCATATTAGACAACTATCAAGCTGGTAAAACGCACACAGCTTGCAAGTCGAGAAACTTCGACTTCGACTATCTTTACACTGTAACTCTGCCGTCAAGCATCTGACATGCATATAGTTGAAGCATATACGATGGCAGTGACCGTATGAGACGACTCTGAAGGGTATATAACGAGTTTAATAGGCAAATGAATTTACATCGACTTCATCGGTGTGCATCTCTCTATCCTATCATCTCACATGGATACTATTGAAGCGAACGAGTTCGCAATGCCCATATGAGACGACTCCCAAGCGGGTGAAACGTACACAACTTGCAGAACAAGAAACTTCGACTACGACTATGTTTACACAGAAACGCTGCAGTCTAGCATCTGACATGAGTAGTTAAGATTGGCCGGTTCTGGCTCTCCGCCCTAGGTCACCATCCTCCGACCTTGGGCGGAGTGACCTTGGGCAGAAGTGACCTTGGGCGGGAGTGACCTTGAACGGGTCTGACCTTGGGCGGGAGTAACCTCGTATAGTGGAGTGTCGACAGCGCGCCCTTGAATGCGGAGGTGACCTTGAGGGCGAGATGAAGTGACATTGAAGGAAGGTTGTACGAGTAACCTTCGCATATGTGGCCTTGGGAACGAGTGACCTTGAGTTGTAGAGAGGGAGAGACCTCGACCTTGGAGAGGGAGGTGAAAGCGTGTGCGACCTTGAAAATGGGTGTAGGCTGGTCGAGGTCGTTTTTGGTAGAAGTGGGGTGCTGCGTTACGTCACATATCCCAGTTCCTATAAATACATCATTGTATCGTCTGCGAGAGCATAGTTCTCCTAATAATACGGAAGATACGCACCACCAACTCGCACATAAAAAATATACCCGCTCAAATAGATTGGGAATATAAAGTGTTTGCAATAAAAGTGTACGTGAACTGTTATATGTGAGTAAAAATTATTTATATACTGTTTACACCTCTTTTCACTCAACAAAGAAGAATTTATAATGGCAGCTCCTAAAATTGATTTGTTAGCGATAAATAATCGAATTAACGAAGACAATGATATTATCAAGCAAACTGTTATCTTATCACTACTCGTGAATAAAAGCTATGTGGTCAAGAAAATATCACTATGTGGAACCAGGTTTGGTAGGAGCGGTTTTGTAATATTGTACGATGAAGAAACTGAGGCTAGTCTGAAATGTTGGTTGCCCAAAAGAGTTGTAGAGTTGCTGAGTGAAAGCGACATTGATGAGATGAATTCTTCAAATGGTCTTTATACTCTAGCATATTTGGACCAGAATGAGCCATTATATGTAGGTGCAAAAACGAGGGCTCTCATCAAGTTTGACTTCAAGCAGAATTAATTCGGAATTATTCTACTTAATTATTTATGATAGGTTTTTTTAGTATAGTTTAGTGAAAAGGGTTTAAAAATCATATGATAATTATTATTACATTAACACAAGCCACTAACGCAGATTGTACCGTTTGCGGTAAGAAAAAAATTAGGTTCCAAAAAGAATTCAATGAAAGACAAATCTCCCAAATAATCTCATCATTACCAAACTTTTTTTTTATCATTTACAGACTCCTGTTCCCCAACATGTGGATGCATTATTCTAGTCAATTCTGGCCGACAGCGGAAGACATCAAATCAGCAGTGAGCAAGTTGAAATGTCAGTTCTCTGATTTGTCACGTGATGCAATGCACGCGACAAATTATGATTTGAGCATATGCTTCGATCGAGAACAAGTTGAACGACTCTGTGAACAAGCCGAACAATATAGAAAGGGTTATATGTTATGCGCCCGGTTCGAATATAGTAGCTTCACTTTGAAGGAATTTCTTGAAGCAATGGTGGGAGAGGACTTGGAACAATTTCTGTATGAAATTTTTGATTTTATACCAAACAGCCTGATACGGAAGTACAACTTGGGGGTAATTCCAGAATCATCCGACAACGAGGAGGAAGAAGAAGAAGAATCGAAATGATGATATTGCTGAGAGATGCTTCAATCATACTATTATCATTTGCATGTATATATATAAATTATGGAATGATGATGAGCTCGCATTTTTTCATTGTCTATCAATCAAGAAATAAAGAACGATGATTTGTAAAACATTTGTGTACTTTTATTCAATTTAGTGCAGATACATGTGTCGATAATAATAATAATAATAATCATGATGATAATAAATAATAATAAACATAATAATAATAATAATTGTTGTTTTTTTGTTGTTGGCTAGAATTTGCTCCAGATCTGTAGAGTGTATTCAAGGAGCACCTAACTGTATGGAACCATCTAGTGCGCTATATGTCAAAAATGCATCGTGAAGAATGAGCGCATATACCTTAGTATTAGATGGAAATTTCGATTGGCGTGTCTCAAACTCCAACTTGATATCGACAGTTGAAGATTTCAATGTGTCCGGTTGATGACTGCAGTCTATGATGAATAACGGATTTTTTCTAAACTCCTCACTACTCATCATTGGTTCGCTCATGTCTTTACCATGATAGCTTCGTTGGAAATTATCGTATGCATAATAGGCTACAGCATCTAATTTCTTTCCAAAATCCAAATTCCACCGTTCATAAGGGTAAACTTCCGAATGCAAATACAGTCGAATATTGTTGACTCCCCCATGATTGAATTGGGTGGTATCCTTGGATCTATTATCTGTGTTACCAGGATTTTGGAAGCCTATGATGATGTACCTTGGTCGCTCGAGACTATTGGTGGTTTCAACAGCCCAAATGTCTGAAGATGTTTCACGAATTGACGGTAATTCATACAGATCCCACATCCTGTATGCAATTTTCACTTTTGCTGTAGAACTTTTATTGAGACGGTTCAGTAATTTCAACCTCTGCTTATCCGATGGCATAATATGTCCTATCTTCCATTCGATTTTGTTAATCTCCACACTGGCATCAACTTCTCCTATATAGCAGTTTTTGAATGATCGAGCTATGATGAGTATCAGCTCCTGTTTCACATTCAATATACCTTCATTATAATCCTCAGCGAACCCCATTAAATATTTTAGTGGTAGTTTTCCACTGAATATGTGGCTAGATTTGTCTAGAATTGGCTGATTCTCGCTGTCAATTCCCCATCCGACTGTTTCAAGAAATTCAGCGTTAGAATCGCCATAAGAGATCATGCTCTTCATTGTGGTAGTAATGCCTGGTTTTCGAATCATACAATCTTGTTCGCCTCCCATTTCATAACGAATTTCATCGAAGAGGAAGGCTAAGGTATTGTTAGATAGATAGCAGGATTTCGTTGCATCATCTGGTGTGAATTTCCCCTCAATATATATGTAGCTATCAGAAATATCGAGTATCAAATCTTGAAAGTTGACAGCCATCCTGATTTCATCAGAATTCTTGAATGATGGTGAACCATATGGTTTGTATGTATGCTCATGTAGGCTAATTAGTGAATGATCGAAAATTGGTTCATCGAGCACCTCCAATTGTAAGCTAGTAGAACTTGTGACAACCATTGTTCACTAATTTCTACTCGTTCGTCGTCGTCTTTGTCGTACTGTCAGACCAATAGATTCCAAAAAACTTATATCGCTTGCAGATAATCTATGACGTCCTACCTGACCGGTGAGCTGTCTTTGAATGAATCCTCTACTTCGTTTACACTTCTTCTTAACGGTAGTGTTTGAAATAGTGGGGTTTGCAGCGAGAGATACACGTTTTGATTGGTTTCCGAAGCAGAAACTAATTTTTTCCAAACCGTTGTTGTAATGGAGTGGTATTAATTATTATTAACCCTGTATATATTGACAAGTGATTGTAATTGATGATAGGTGACTGTGGTTACTTGTAAGTTTTGTTCAATAAATAAATTGTGAAATTTTTATCTCCGATTCTCAATCTGTGACTTCACCTTCTACAAACCCACTTGGGTCATTTCATTTGGCGACGAGGACGTAAAAACGACTGGATTATTGAATAGCATTATGGCGACCATTGGATTCATCAAGGAATTCAATCCAAGTCAAGACAATTGGATGCTCTACCAGGAGCAGTTGGAAATGTTCTTCAATATCAATAAGATAACAGATAGTGAGACGGATAATCGAAGAGTAGCAGCTTTACTCAGTTTAGTCGGAACGACCACTTACAAGGTATTGAGAGATTTGTGTACCCCATTTCTACCAAAGGATAAAACATATGATGAACTATGTAAATTGCTGAAGACGCATTATTCTCCAACTACATCGGTATACCGTGAGCGGATTGAATATTTTGAGACGAAACAGGAAGAATCTGAAAGTATCAGTACTTGGTATGCCAGAATTCATAACTCAGCTGCCAATTGTGAATTTGGTTCCAATCTCCGATCGTATCTCAAAGATAAATTCATTTGCTCAATGAGAAGAGGACCGATCAGGGATCGACTTTGTGAAGAAAAGTTGGACGCGAATTTGGAAAGAATCCTGGATTTGGCTTTGACAAAGGAATCTTCATTGACTAGTGGAATTGTGACAACAACTGTCAACGTTTTGAAGCCTAATCAAAATACGAAGCGAAATTTTGTCGAAGAAAATCAAAAACATCTTCAGCAGAGAGAAAATGTCAACAAAGGCCGTTGGAAGTGTAAGGCTTGTGGTTATTTTCATACTGAAAGACAGAATTGTAAGTACGCGACTTACACATGTAGTGCCTGCCAGAAAGTTGGTCATCTTTCCAAAGTATGTTGGAAAAAGCAGAATTCATTGGAAGTTGAAGAAGACGAAGTAGATATTTTTAGTATTAGGTTTGATAATTGTAATCCGATCAACTTGAATATTTTCGCTAATAATATCAATATTCCAATGCAATTAGATAGTAGGAATTACTTATGCAAATTAAATGACGAAACAGAGTGGCGAAGACATATTGATTAAATTAAGATGAGAGTATGTGATGAAATATCAGAAAATGACGATAACTCTGGGATAGCGGTATCTCTACCAAGATCTAAATATCCGCATTCAATTGATAATCCAAACACAATCGATAATACCAACGACAATGTCGATAATACTGATATAACTAACGCAGATGACATTATGAATACCGAAAATGAACAATCTACACCAACAAATATTTCCGGTAGTAATGATCAAACGATACGAACTGATGAAACTGTAGGCAGGGATATTTCAGGTAGTGCCGACACACTTTCAGGTAGACCGAAACGAAATATTGTACAACCGGCTCGTTATAGAACATAACAAATTTTTGTATTGTATCCGTAGTTGAAATAATTAATACGATATGGTGTGTCCTCAATTTGTGAGAGGGATATGTAATGAAGTGGTATTAATTATTATTAACCCTGTATATATTGACAAGTGATTGTAATTGATGATAGGTGACTGTGGTTACTTGTAAGTTTTGTTTAATAAATAAATTGTGAAATTTTGATCTCCGATTCTCAATCTGTGACTTCACCTTCTACAAACCCACTTGGGTCATTTCAGTTGTAATAATTAATCGAGCTGTTTCAATTCCAATTTGACTATAATCTTCTCTCCGCAAAGGTCAACTAATCGGTCATTATCATCCAAAATTCTTAGTGTGATGTTGTCGATAGACTGACGCCCTGTCGGACTGATTGGTTGATATATAATTTTTTTCGGCTCCTTTGAAAGTTTGTATCCAGGCTCCACATCGACATCGAACTCGTAAAGCGTGTGAACACCCTCACCATTGAGGTACGCTCCAGTAGTGATATTAAAATCAACCCGTATCAATCGTACCTTTATGATGTTCACAGGTAAAGTGGATTCATGCAAAACATTGGGCTTGTAATATTTCGGTTCAAAGCCCAAGACTTTGGCTATAGAATCGTTAATACTCAAAATTAACATAATTTCGGACTTGAGTTCACATTTGAGCGTATTATTGTTAGCTCGAAGGCAGAATACATCATCAATATTTCGCCCATTCAGCGGAGTCCAACTCTCTATAGCCTTTTGTATTGCTCTATTGATTTCATCTATCTCATAGGCGCCTGGTGGTATCTGAAGAACAACGCTTCCCTCTTCGAACCAAATACCTAATTTGTTATTTGTCTCATCTATATTGAGTATAGAGTTGTATGAATAGGAACCATGTAACCCCAAGCCGTAAGTCCTTACATCGAGTTCGATTGGTGGAAAAAAATCTGCACTCAAGATACTGCGATCTCCAGAAATGGTGAATGTTTGCGACATAACTTTTTACAATTGGAAAAGCAAACACAGCAAAAACCAAACAACAAGCTCCAGTGTATACAGCAGCAGTAGTAAACAGTATCAACCTTATTGCTGCCTGCAACAATGAAGAATGTTCTTGTTTTCGTTCGGCGAAGCATTAATATCGAATTTATTGTTAGTTGCCACATTTACATCTTCTATTTGACAAAAGCAGCATAATATTTTTCTTGGTATCGGCCCATTATTGACATCTGCACTGGAACGGTAGTAGAAGGGCTATGCCAGTTCTGGACCAAGCCAATCAGAGACCAGCATTTAATTGGAGGCCACGCCCACTAAAAACCGGCGCGAAATTCAAATTATTCATACGGCGTCACGTCGCCATCATGAATAAATAAATTAAAAAAAGCTGTCACCGCTGGGGGAAATTGAACCAGGGACCTTTGCATTATGAGGTAGCGTATATACGCACTGTGGTATTCCGACCTCCGTGATATTTCAATTATTTTAATGCTATTCAAACGGGATATCCATAGCTGGCGCGCGCTTATCTTTGCAACGGATCCATCGAGGTAGAGTGAAGCGAGAGATGCATTCCAGAGATAAGAAACTTCGCGTGGAAAATAATATCCATCGCAGGCGCGCGCTTATCTTTGCAACGGATCTATCGAGGTACAGTGAAGCGAGAGATGCATTCCAGAGATAAGAAACTTCGAGTTGAAAATAATATCCATCGCAGGCGCGCGCTTATCTTTGCAACGGATCTATCGAGGTAGAGTAAGGCTCGAGCGCGCGGTGCTGCAGCGTTGTCGGACGTATGTGTTTGGGTGTTAATATTGTTACATTATTGTGTGTGGCAACGCTGTCTCGCTTCATGGCGTTCGAAGATCCAGCAAAGCGAGAGATCCCTTAGAATGATAAGCGCGCGCGCGCTCGTATTGGAAACAAATACTTGAATTAATTATTTATTTTATAGTGGGTGACGTCATGCTGTTGGTTTTTCTTCTGGTAAAATGATCACGTGTGTGGGTACTCTCAAAATAGGATTTTTTATGGACAATTCGGAAATGTCAATATACCTATATGCAAAGCCGCATGGTTTGAGGGATATCGTTCTACCATTGACATATGTCATTAATGGTACATAAATGCGAAATGAAACTACTACTACTACTACGAGGAAAATTATTGTTAGATAATCAATTTTTATTTCACAGTAAAGCTTTTTTACAAAAATAGCATGATTCTTGAGAAGATGGCGGTCCATCCCAGTGAGTATTTAATGACAAAAACAAGATTGAATTTTCATATACAGGGCGTTTGAGTTGATTGATAATTGAAAAAAATATATATACAGGGCGGCCCATGGGGGTGAAAGAATACGAAAACGAAGATAAATAATCTATTTATTTAAGTAATCCTTTTCTACAAAAATGACATGCCTCTTGAGAAGATGGCGGTCCATCCCAGTGTGTGGTCCAATCGGGACGATTATAATGAACGAAGCATGGCAGTTTGATTTGTAGGTTAAAGTTGCTGCGATATTCTTGAGGAAGTTTGTGCCATATCATTAATAGGTCACAGGGATCTGCATGTTCAATGATACACTCTACTGGAATATAGTGCAATTCTTGTTCGATGAATTTTAGCAGAGTGGTAGCAGGAGATTTCAGGAACTCTAAGAGCACAGCTATTTCAGATTTATAACAGAGTGTCTCAATACTGGAGAGTGGATTGCTTTCAATATCAATAGAACGTGGAAAAGTTTTAAAGAGCGAAAATTTCGCTATAATCGACACCAAACATTGTGTGTGAGAAATGTGGGAAATTCTTGAATAAAACTAACCTATACCACCATATGAGGAATGCCCATAGAGTGGACGCCACCAATTCGAATAACCTAGCTGATTAGCGGATGGCAGTTAATGGATTCAGAAGTCTTCAGATCACACTTATAGAAGTATTCAGAGGTATTCGGAGGTCTTCAGATCACGTCTTCAGATGTCTTCAGATGTCTTCAGATGTCTTCAGATGTCTTCAGAGGTATTCAGAGGTCTTCAGATCACGCCTTCAGAGGTATTCAGATGTCTTCAGAGGTATTCAGATGTCTTCAGAGGTATTCAGATGTCTTCAGAGGTATTCAAGAGTCTTCAGTTGTATATCAGACA